AGAGAGAGAGAGAGAGAGAGAGAGAGAGAGAGAGAGAGAGAGAGAGAGAGAGAGAGAGAGAGAGAGAGAGAGTACACCCGGCACACATCGTACAATGGTTGTGCCCTGCGGGACATCAGACTTTCCCAGCCTCCAAGCCCCCCCCTACCCCCCACACGTTCCAAAAAAAATTGCTCCAAATTCCCAATTGCTAACAATCCTTCAAAGATATAGCAAAGGCAGATTTCATTTCCAATAGTAGGCCCAGGCTTTACATATTATCAAGCTGCAGAGCTCTCAAGAACCTCCTTAAAAGGCGTACATGCCACCGTCAAGGGCTAACATGGCGCTGGTGCATTTGCCGGGGGAGCAATGAACAGGAGATGGAGAACGGCGCAGCGAAATGCAAACAAATCGAGCGCAGCGAAATGGAAACGAATCGAGCACTGCGAAATGAAAATGAATCGAGCACAGCAAAATGAAAAACGAATCACGGTTGGCGACCATAATTTCAAAATGGTACTGTGTCTGGTTGTCAGCCTGTTGTGCAATTTTACGCAAAACAGAACACCCGAGTGATTCACTGCAGCCTACCCATATTCATTTATTTTGAACTAAGAAACATGTATGGAGAAGGCAAACAACAAAAAAGCAAAGGGGAACGAAAGGGAGGAACAAGGAAACAAGAACGAAGGAGGGGAGGTTGGGTAGACAGAACACAAATGTGAAAACAAAACTGAGGGGCTACCTTCAAGCTAGCCCGTCCACGTTCTACCCATGTATATCTACCCTTCATCTTTAAAGCAACAAGGGAACACACACACACACACACACACACACACACACACACACACACACACACACACACACACACACTGAGGGTCTACCTTCAAGCTAGCCCGTCCGAGCTCTACTATGTACACCTACCTTTCATCGTTGACGCAACAAGGGGGAGACACACACACACACACACACACACACACACACACACACACACACACACACACACACACACACACAGTCCCTGCCCCTGCAAACGTCATTGCTCGTCATCTAGCTCATCCTCACTGTCACTACCTCCTTGATAAGACGCCATCAACGATGCCAACCCTGCACCGCTTACTCCGCTATCTTTAGGGTCAAGCGCATGCGACACGGTAGTTGACATTACCACATCGTTTCCACTGCTGCCCAGTTGGATTTCTGCAGGCTTTCCCAGTCTTGGGACACTCTTGCCACCATCTCGCTCCCCTTTCGCTGGACTTCCCACATGCCCATCCTCCCGACCTCCTCGCTCCCCATTGTCAGTGGAAGCAGCTGTCTTTGTTGGCTGTTTTGGCTTGATTAGAAATGGCGCTGGGGAAAGCTTCGGTCCTCCAATTGATAGCTGCCAAGGAGGGCCACCATGCAAACTCCCTGCAGTTGGAGAAGACGCACAAGCATTTTAGGAAAAGGAAATGGAAAACAGATGGAGCGCTCGCAACGACTTTCTCCGCCTTTTGGCTGAAAATAGAATATAAAGTGTCATATCTGTTCTATAACTTCTAATCAGTTTAATATCTGATCCATGAAAGAAGAAGAAAAAAAAGTCAGAAAACAGATAGATCCCTGCCAGAGCCATAACCCCAACACAAATTTCACCGAGTAGGATGTCTTATCCCACCTCCACTCTCCTTCACCTCCACTCTCCTTGCCTCTTTAAGCGACTGCTTTCGATAGACCGTACTGTGCGTACTAGTTGATGTGGTTTCGACAGACCGAAGTCTGGCGAGCACAGCACTCGAGGCTGTTTAAGCAGGGCTTGGTAGAACTTAACCCCTGATTACCAGTGCTTGAAGTAGGATGTCTTATCCCACCTCCACTCTCCTTCACCTCCACTCTCCTTGCCTCTTTAAGCGACTGCTTTCAATAGACCATACTGTGCGTACTAGTTGATGTGGTTTCGGCTGTTTAAGCAGGGCTTGGTAGAACTTAACCCCTGATTACCAGTGCTTGAAGGAGGGGTAGGCCCTAACAAGCTTTGTATCCATCTGATGTCATCAGCATTCGAACTCATAATCTGTTTATTAACCCAACTTAACAGTTACATATGCGTACCATTCAAACACGTGGGTTGGGCACCAGATTACCTGCTTAACCCTATGCTCAACAACAAGACTTCCAGTTGTCATGAAATTGGCACATTATTCTCAGGCTAAAGACTTGGCTTCAATGCTAGGCTACCAGCCGGGCCGCCCGGGTCCAGGGTGGCCAACCCGTGCAAGGACCAGGGAAGGTCCCAGCAAAAAAAATAATAATAAAAAACAAATTCCAAAAAATCCGAGAAAAAACCTATGTTGTGCAGAAAAATAAACTGAACAACTTTTGCCTCAGGGTCCCATCGACATTCTTCACCAAATTTAGAATAAAAAATAAAAATATAATTTTATTTTATTTTATTTTATTTTTTTCGCCCGGCCGAGCAAATGACCCCGGGCCACTCTGGTAACCTAGTCGGCTTGACCTTTTTTTTTTTTTTTTTTTTATAGGAAAAAAGAAATTCTGTTCATTGGATTGCATCTTAGAGTTGGACTCAGGTCTGTATTTCAACAGTTCACGGGTGTACCAACAGTTGATTTCACATCCCTCTGTAGTTACAACTTCATCTGGCATTTTATTGTTTTTGCCTCTGCTTCATCATCACCCCAATGCATGTGACTCTGCTGCACTGCACGCACATGAACCCATCATTTAGGTGAGAAAATAGATCTTAAAATAGCAAAAACATAGGGCCTCGCCACACGACGCACAAAAACGGACCCTCGCAACACGAAGTTCGTGAGGGGGCATGAGTGAAAAATTTTTGATTTTTTTTTCGGTGGCTCGAGAGTGGCACTATGCTAGCCACCAACGGACCACAAGTATTCAGGAGCAAGCTACACTAAGGAAGCTACACTAAGGGTTATGGGTTGAGTCTATCCCCTCAGGGTTTAGCCTATCCCATTTTAGAGAGTCAGAGGGTTGCACCTAACTCCTAGTAACGAATGATAGGGATACCAGCATTCCCTACCAACCGACCACGAGGGGGAAGGTGTCTATCCCAGCTGTGGTCGAACTGCAGCGTGCCCTTCGACCCCTTAGGCGGCCGTGGGGTTTCGCGGTTCGAAACGGACGGCGTGCGGTACTTCGTTTTCCTCTTTGGCAGTCCGTGATTTGTGGCGCTCCTTCCTCGACCTGCAGGGACAGACCCGACAACTCAAAAAGCATTGGACGGCGGCGCAGGTTCCGGGCAAGTCAAAGAGTGTTCGACAGAGGTGGTTCTAGCTGCAATTTCCTGGCGGGAGAGCATGTCTTTAGCACACATTTGGCCATATCACGAGAAATTACCCGGCCCTAGATGCAGGGAAAAAAAAAAGAAAAAAAAAAGGCCCTGCAGGCATTCCTGACTCCTGAAGTTGTTTGCAGATTTCGTTTCCCGTGCAACTGCATGGCCTACCCCTGCTTTAGTGGCAAAGTAAAATAAATTTTAATAAAATGCAATAGATAAAATATTAAATTTGTAATACGCTAGGAATAGGTAGTTGTATTATAATAGGCTAGGGGATAGTACGAGGGAGTAGGTGGCAAGTACGAGGGGCTATAGGGGGTAAGGAGGGGGAAGGGGGGAATCAAAACTCAAAGCATACAAAAGGCACCTGAACAGGGACGCTGGGGAGAGTGGTGATAGCAATCCTGAAAGTGAGCAGGATGGGCAGTAGGCAAGCCAAGGGTGAATAGTGAGGAGTCATCGAGCACTGTTACGGCCGTGTGCCAACAAGTGCTTGTGAGGGTAATAGGGAACACAGGATATCGTAGGGAAGGGCATAGAATGGCATACTCGGCCTTGAAGGTAGGGGGCCACAATGGTTACAATAGCAGATACCGCGTAGGGAGGACACACATAAAGGAAGGTACAAAGGCAGGCTCAGATTAGCAGAATGCTTAAAGCACCAGTACACCATACGTCGGCCCGCGGGTGTCGGCATAAAACTCGCACCACTTCGGAGGCCGCCGATTTGTTTTTTCAACGGCGCCCCGCACCTAGCGGCCTCTCCGAGTTCTGCTTGTGGCGAAAAAAAACTTTCTGCAAGGCTGGGGCCATGTACTGGCGGTTTAAACCACCAGTACCTACGGTTGGGGCAGCCGTTAACGTGGAAACCGAATCGGCCTGCCCCTCCAGTCCAAATCCATTCGAGGCCCGGGGGTACGAAAAATGCGGTAGGTACGAAGAGGATCTACTGAGGTAAGAGACAAGAAATTGCACCTGACACCAATAGGACTTGGGCATGACTCAGGCTGACAAATAAATATTCGTAGACTGGTCGACGCGACCTCAGGGACTGCCCTGAACGGCCCCCCCGCCGGGCTGCGCCCCCCAGGAAAATCCCCTACTGCGTGCCGGGGTGCTGCTAGTAAGCTTCCCGACCAGTAGGGTAATCCACCGCAGAGGGGCAACGATTTGGGGGTGAGTTGCTTAGAAGCAGCCCCCCCTTGCTTCGGTGGCTAGTGCCACAAGGGTAGGCCGACCTTCTTTTCTTGTCTATTCTCCCCTATTCTCTATCTTCTGTATAAAAATGCTTGCCGGTGATAAGCAACCGGACTGATGGCCCCCAAGAATAGAAGGGGGCTTTGTTTGTTTATTTGGCAAACATCTTCAGAAAAAATAAAAATAAAAAATTGTCATACGCGCGGCAGTGAATACCTGCTATTGATGCTGAGCTACCAGAAAGCAGCATATCTGTGGGTCGAGCGAAGGACCCAGACGAAGGGTCAGAGCCTGTCAGCGCCTTTGATCTCTGCAATCACACACAATAGACAGACCGCCAGCAAAGCAAAACAATGCACCCGAAGACATAGAATATTAGAAAACGGGTGGTTGCCCAATGAACCCCAGGCAGAATTGCCGTTGATGTCAACATATATGGAGCAGGTCCTCACTACATGGGGGCAGGTCTTCAGACTCTTCACCACATGGGGCGGGTCTTCATATATGGGCCAGGTCTTCGCAAGCACGAGAAACGGGAGTGCCGGTAACAGAGTGTTTTCCTCGTCGGAGTTTTCACCGATTCACCAAGAGGAACTGTCCGTCATGCGCTGACCGATTAGCCGTTGATGTCAACATATATTGGGCAGGTCTTCTAGGAAACCTTCACTGTCACACACGACGGCAAACTTTACGGTTGGCAAAGGGGGGA